GGAGCTGACTGAGAACAAGGACCAAGGCTTCCAATTTCCCGGAATGGTGACATGACCTGCCAATGGCAAGAAAATGCTGAACACAGCATAGAAACATCTTAAAACCAACCAAGGCAGGAGGAACTGCCAGGACAACGAAGCACTTGGAAGGGTGAGAGATACGGAGGCTGACTTTGCCCTAAAGAACTTGCCAATTCTGGATGTGTCTGTCTTGATGAGAACCTGTGGGGCCAAGGAGATGGAAATCACAGTCCAAGGTGGGGAGCATAACAGCAGACACGCCACTGTGGCCGCCATGGGGCTGCCCGCTCAGGGGGGGCGAGGCTGGATGGGGAATCACCCAGCCTTCGCTCAGATCTGAGCTCCAGCCTGAATCTGGATTTGGGAATCCCGCGTGGCTGGCAGGAGGAAAAGTCCCTTCTCTCTGGAGAAGGACTCCTCATCCTAGGCTACAAATGACTCCTGTAAATGACTGTCAAGTACGGTGGCCAACACACAGTCGAAGATAACTAGGCACGTGGGGAACCGAGGCACGTGATCCAGAAAGACAGCAGGAAAAACAGACAAATGGACGAGGAGCAAGTCTCCTGGGCCCGGGCTCGTCCTGGCCACCCTGTGCCATACCTTCCCACAGCTTCTGGTGCTGGTCTTTGGCCTCCTTCTCTGGCTTCTCAGCCTCCTCCTTCACCGTCCGCAGCATCTCCACCTGGTCCTCCAGGGACTTCTTTCCGGTCTGTAGCTCAGTGAGCTTTTGCTGGATGGGGAGAAGGCAAGGGGCCAGCTCTTCCTTCTGTTCTACTTTCTTCCTCACAGACTGCTACCTCCCCGCCTCTACTCCAGGGGCAACCGCAGGACCTTTCCAAAACTCACACCCTCCTGGGTCCCCCGCTTGCTGTGGTTCCCTGCAGCCCACTCACCTTAAAGTAGCTTCGAGGCCCCGTGTGACCAGGCCCCGGCTGCCTCTCCAGCTCCACCTGCCCCAATGCTATCTTTTTTTAATTTTATTTTTTGGTTAATCCTCACCCAAGGATATTTTTCCCATTGATTTTTAGAGCCAGTGAAAGGGAGGGCAGGAGAGAGAGAGGAACGTCGAAGTAAGAGAGACACTGCAACTGGTTGCCTCCCGCACGCGTCCTGACTGCAGCTGGGAATCAAACCCACAACCCAGGAATCGGACCCATAACACTTCGTTGCATGAGCCAACGCTCTGACCAGTGGGAACACTGGCCAGGGCCCTATTGCTATTCTAAATATACATATTTCTTATTGATTCCAGAGAGGAAGGGAGAGGGAAAGAGAGAGAGAAATATCAATGATGAGAGAGAATCATCAATTGGCTGCCTCCTGCACGCCCCTCACTGGGGATTGAGCTGGCAACCCGGGCACGTGCCCTGCCCAGGAACTGAACCATGACCTCCTGGTTCATAGGTCAACGCTCAACCACTGAGCCACACCAGCCGGGCAATTTTAAACTCTAGGCTCCAACTGTCTTAACAACCAACATTCAGACTGCAAATGCTCTCTGCCTCGTTCTTCACACGTGCGCCCCTTCCATCTGGAGCACTCTACCTGGCTGCCCTGAATCCCCTACAGATTTCAGCTTGGAGACCTCATCCTCCAGGAAGTCTCCCTGCTTCCTGCCGCGAAGACCAGGGACCAGGCAAGAGTGTCTTCTTTTTGCCCAGCAACCCTGGGACTCAGGTTCTGTCCGTCTGTCCCTCCCACCGGACAATGCACCCTTGAGGCAGTCCCTGGTGAGCTTCCAGCCTCATGCCCAGTGCACAGCACATCCTGGGCCTCTGTGGATATTTCAAGAAGGGCTGAGTGTGCGGGACGGGCTCCAGCCTAGGAACTGGGTCCCAAGCTGCAGGGTCTTAGCCCGAGCACCCACAGCATCACTGTTCTCCCGAGACCTCGGCTGACACCTCAGCGTGGACTGCTGCTATGATCCTCCCAACTCGCCACGAGGGCAAAGGTCGCTTGGAGACACCTTCACCACATAGTTCCCCCACTACCCCCTGAGCTTAGGATGGAGCTCACGGCCCCAGGGTCCTCCGTAGCCAGGCCCTGGGGATGGGGGAGAAAGACCTGGAACCTTCCCTGGGCTGGAACCCTTGCTCAGTGGGCCGAACAGGAGCCCAGAAGCAATGCTGAGAACTCTGACCCATCAAACAGCCAAGGGAATGGAAGGCAGGGGAGGGAGACACACACTTGGGGGTACACCCTCCTCCGGCCCCCAAAGCACACACCCTACTGAACTAGCCCAGCTGCGGCTGATTGACACGGTCTTGAGTCCTCCCCAGTCACACAGTCATCAGCCCCATCTTACAGACGACAGACCCACAGACCTGGGGTGCAGAGGCACCCCTCCTGTTCTGGGGGGCAGCGAACTCCGCCAGCCCCCTTCAGGCTGCCACCTGACGCTCCACGCCTGTGCTCACCACTGTGGACCTGGTAACGACCTAACCAACAACTTCACGCCAAGTGGACAAACGAGAAAACGAAGGCGCAGACAGGAACTGGCCCCGGACACCATGCCCCCAGGCCTCCGGTCAGCCCTGGGGCCCCTCACCTGCTTCTCTTCCCGGGCCTTCTTCCAGTCCTCGATGAGGATCTTCTTCAGGCGGAAGCCCTCGCGGGTGACCTCTGCCATCTGCTGCAGCGTCTCTCTCTCCTTGCGGCCCTTCTCCCTGGCGTGAGAGGACACACAGGCACCACCAGGGGGCACTGAGGACCCATCAGATCTGCTCTTCCAACTGGGCTCAACCCCACCTGCCACCACCATATTGGGAAAGACCAGAGAGCGAACCCTCCTCCTCCACCTCCCAGACGCTCTTGGCCTCGGAGCCCCAAGTCCTTGTCCTTGGGAGGAGACAGTGGACAGGGTTCGCCCACCCTCAGGGTCAGGAGAGGGAGTAGGGAATGCTGGGACGTGAGGCTGGAAGTTGGCTCCCGAGAGAGAAAGGAGAGAAAAGCACAGAATCACAGACTCCCGGGAAATCTGGCCGTAAGCACGTTGTGTGTGATCAACCCTCTGCTTACGTGAAAGGTCTTCAATCAGAAGCGTTTACATACATAAACATTCGGTTTCGCTGAAAAACCAATCAGGCCCTTATCACCTGCCCTCAACTGACAGGAGTCGAGGGCAGCTGCCCCTTCAGATGCCACAGTCCCCACCACTCCTGCTGCCTGATGCTCAGCCTGCTTCTGGCATTCAGATGACCTGCCTGCCATTTCAGTTTCCAGGTCCTGCTCCCGTGTAGCAATTAAAAGCATGGAGTCTCAAGTCAGGCTGTCCTGGGTTCGAGTAGCAGCTCTGCTATCTCCTAGCTACGTGACCCCGAAGAAGTCATTCTCCTTCTAAACTTGAGCTTTTCGACCTGTTGAACATGCACATGACTGCACCTGCTTCCCGGCCAGAGGGAGCCTTCACAAGGCACCCGGCACAGGCTGAGCGCTCGATGCTCAAACACAGAAAAGAGAGGGGGCCTGATTCACTGGGCAGGGCAAGGCAAGGTCCTGGAGGTTGAGGGGTGGGGGGCGCCCCCGTACCTGCAGGTGTTCTCACAGACGATCCCACTATTGTACTCGTCCGTCCCGTCGCAGCAGTCTTAGGGCAGAGGAGGGGGCACCATCAGACGTAGCAGTGTCTCCTCCTCCTCCTCCACCCCTCCTTCCCCAACCCCAGGGGGATCTCACTTACCACAAACTCCATCGTTGACCCATCTGGAGGAGATGTACAGGGGCTTGTAGCCAGTGTTGGTGCAGTGGAAGCTGCCGTTAGGACAGGCAGCCGTGCCTTGGGGAAGGAGGAAGAGGGAGGGGAGTTTTCCGAGTTCGCAGGCCTTACCCCATCACATCCACCCGACAGAAGCCCCGACACACACGCACACAGAGAGCACAAGAGAAGTAGACCAGTGCCGAGTAAGGGGAAGAGAGACAGCTGCACACTCAAGGTCTGAGACGGAATCCTCCCAGGCCCCCTCCTGACTCTCTTCACCAAGACCCTCAGAACAGGCCCCCCAACTCCCCCCGCCCCCGCCTTCACCTGTCCCTGTCGCCCAGAGGCCCCGCCTTCTCTCCCACCTGCGGGTGCTGGCCTCTCCACGTGCAGCACCCTGCAGGAGGCCCCGCCGAGCCCTCAGATCGGGTGGGGGCCTCTCTGAGCTCCCCCCGTGCCTGTGGCTCTCAGCACCAAACCAACGACCACTGGCTTCTGTGCCTGCTTTCCCCATTAAGTCAGCAGGGAGCAGTCCTGTCGTGGTCACCACACAGGGCCTGGCACTGCCCAGGCGCTCAATACCGGTGCAATGAATGGATGGGTGGACGGATGGGGAAAAACTCACCCGGCTCATCCGAGCCGTCCTTGCAGTCACAGTAGTCATCGTTGACCTGATCAAAAGGGATGGTGACCGAGCCGTCCAGGCAAGTGAAAGGCTTGGACTCATCGTAGAAGTGATGGTCTGGGGGGGTGAGCAAGAGACTCAGCCCAGCGCAGGAAGAGGCCCCCCAACCTAAGGGCACCTCTGCTTCCATCCATTGCTGAGCGCTGCCACCTTCCCCACCCAGAGGCAGGGACACGGAGGCCAGAGGCTGTAAGTGCCCCCCGAGGAGCACAGCGGCCCCTCCAACCCGACCCCCCACGCGGCGGCGGACTCACTGGTGAGGGAGACGCCCCGAGGCCGCCGGACCTCCACGGCCCAGCACGCGGGGAGCAGCAGCACCAGCAGCAACATCTCGCTAGAGGCTCGGGGGCCGGAAGCGGGCCCGGGGGGAGGAAGCCGGCTGCGGGCAGACGCGCTGCAAGGAGGGAGCTGCCGGTCAGCGGCCGAGGGCTCCCTCCAGCCAATTGGATTCCTCCATCGCTTCCGGGCAATGGGTGCTCATGGGAAAAGATACCGGACGAGACCTTTCCAACCTGGCCCGTCTCAATGGTGGGATCTCAAAACCTCCGCTCCCCAGGGGGGGAGAGCGAGCCAACCAATTCCCGCCAAGAGGCCGAAGGAGTGAAGAGCCTCCCCCTCGGCCGACGCACACCCTCAGGGACCTCAACAGAAAATTGGGGTTCCCACCGGCCCGCTAATTCATCACTTACACGGAGCAAGGGCAAAGGTCAGTATTCACCGCGCCCCCCCTAGCCCAGCAGCCCACAGTTCTTCCAGCAGAAAAAAAGCGGAAGTTGTGGATGCGTCACTTCCTGTGACACGCTGAGCGCCAGGACGGCGGCTCGGGGACGCCATGTTGGGAGTGGCACGTGAGATGCCGGAACCCGGACGGCCATCTTGGATAGGACTACGAAGCCTTAGAGTTCTGAAGGTTTGCGCTTAATGGCGGCGCAAGGTGCCTCCATCTTGGGAGTGGCGGGTTCTACAATCGCAAAAGAAAGTTCCTGAAAAACGCGCGAACACCCGGTGGGTTTGGGGTGGGAGGAGGAGAGAAAAAAAAAAGACGAACACGTGACCCCAAAGAACCCTCCCCCATCGTGTGGCGGCGCGACTCTGCTCCGCCCCCTGTTGGGCCCGCCCCTCCGCAGCACCAGCCAATGAGAGCAGTGGTGCCGAACGCGGACGGTTTCCATGGGAGCGCATAGGAAGGCGGGGTGGAGGTTACCTAGCAATCGGGAGATGCTGCTAGGCCCAGCCAAACCGTAGGAAAGTGCTTTTTCAGCCACAGAAATCCGAACCGACGGATCCCGGACAGAGGCGATTCCCCGACGCCCCCCCAGCCCCCTGGAGCCTTTGTCCCCAACCCAATCATGACGTCTCCCCTGTGCTGGATGGCCGCCACCAGTGCCACGGTGCCTCCTCAGGACCAGATTCCGACTTCTTCCAAGTCCAAGCGCAGTCAAGATCAGGCCAAAAGCCGCCCTAGAGGCAAGGTCGCGGGGCAGGCCTGGCCTCCAGTCCATTCCAAGGGACCCATCTATGCCAGCCCCGGGAAGGTCGCTCTCCAAATGCAGATGGCTGAGTTACAAAAGAAGATACAAGTATTAGGTAAGAGGGCTCCAAAGGGCATCAAATGGCCCCTAGTCAGCAGTGTCCACCCAGCCCTCTGACCAGGCATGGTGTGGCCAGGGTGCTTCACAGCATTCATCCAGGTGATCAGTGCTGGCGGTAAAAACTCATCTCATAAAACTTCCTGGCCCTGGCTGGTTGGCTCAGTGGATAGAGCATCGGCCCTCCGACTGATGGGTCCGGGGTTTGATTCAGGTCAAGAGCATGTACCTCAGTTGCAGGCTGGATCCCCAGCCTGGGTTGGGGCATTTGGGGGAGGCAACCAATCGATGTGTCTCTCTCACATGTTTCTCTCTTTGTCGGCCTCTCCCCCTCCTTTCCACTCTCTCTAAAAATCAATGGAAAAAATTTCCTTGGGTGAAGATTAACAAAAGCAAAAGCTTTTCCTGGACTCAGAAGTCAACTGGATTGTATTTCATACTTTTGTGTAATTTCAACTCTCTATCATGTGTGGAGTGGTGAAAAACATAGATTCTAGGGACAGACATTTTGGGCTCAAACCCTGGCTCTGCATATACTAATGGTTTGATCTTGGGCACTAAGAGTAACCTAATTGCTCTCAGTTTCTCCATCTGTAAAATGGGGATAACAGTACAACACCATAGGTCGTTGAAATGTGTTAAGTGCTTAGAGCAGTGGCACATAGTAACACACTATAAGTTGCAAACCAGTGGTTCTCAATGGAAGAGGTCCATTTTGCTCCCCAGGGGACATTTGGCAAAGTCTGGAGGCTTTTATAATTAACTAATTATTTACTTAGAGAGAGAGAGAGAGAGAGAGAGAGAGGTTAATTATTTACTTAGAGAGAGAGAGAGAGAGAGATCATATCGATTTGTTGTTCCACTTATTTATACATTTGTTGGTTGATTCTTGGATGTGCCCTGACCGAGGATCGAACCCACAACCGCGGTGTATTAGGCCAATGCTCTAACCAACTAAGCTAACTGGCCAGAGCTAAAGACATTTCTAGTTGTCACGTTATTAGGGGTGGGAGGGTGCTGCTGGTATCTAGAGGGTGGAGGTCGGGAATGCTGCTCAACATGCCAAAATGCACAGGGCAACTAACCACAGTAAATAACTGTACATCCCAAGTATCAGTCATGCTGAGGTTGGGAAATCCTGGTGTAAACCATTATTGTTTTATTATTAATAGGGGAAATCTTGCAGAGTGGTTGAAGGTCAAGAGTCAGACTGTTTGTGACCTTGAACAATCTAATAAGCCTGAGCCTCAGTCTTCTCATCTATAAAATGGGTATGATGTGGATATGCACCTATTGGCATACTGTGTTTTATACCTGGAAAGTTCTTAGTTCAGCATCCAACACATAATAAATGCTCCAAGCAAAGTATTATTATAATATTAAATTGATGACTACAAAAAGGCTATCCCTCTGGGAAGCCTTTCCCACCCCCATGATGCTCTGCTTGTACCTGCCCACATCACTTGACCCCAGAGAGTGATCGGAAGGCCTTTTATGAGAGCACCCAGTGGAACATCAAGAAGAATCAGGAAACCATGAACCAGCTACATGAGGATAACAGGGTGCTGCAACTACAGCTGAGGGACCTGCTCCAGGTGAGGGTGCAGGGAAAAGAGGTTCCAGGGGCAGCACCAGCACTCCCAGCACAGGGCACTGCCTCAGGTAGAGGTGGCCTGGGTAAGTGGTGACTGGGTTCCTCTCCTTGCAGGGAGAAGAGAAAGTGGTCCAGACAGTGATTCAGGACTGGAAGTCAGAGAAGCCATACCTGAAGAACAGGACAGGACAGGTTTGCCCCACCCCTACTCCACTGACAATCTCCTTCATTTCCAGCCTGGGTCCCCTCCCCACAGGACTCCCTCCCTTCTCCCCCTCCCCCTCTAGTCCTGTCTCCCTACCATCCGCCACTCATGTATTCATACAGTTAATTTTTATCACATGTCAGCCATGTGCCTGGCATGGTATTAGGTATTGTTGATCGTGCAATGAAAAAAAACCAGACCAAGTCCCCACTGGGACAGGAATTTGCACTTTTGACTGTGGGCTGGGAGTCAGCAAAGACCCCTCTCTTTCCGATGTGATGCTTGAGCTGAAAATGGAACAGGCAGG